AATTAAGATTAGAAATCTTTTTTTTTTTTGGTAGAAACAGTCAGTATGATTTCAGGATTTCTTTTAGCAACTTTCAGTCAATTTAGAATAGGAATATTTCAGCCAATTTGGAATATATCAGGAAAAAAGGAAGAAGAAAAAGCATTTAAGTGCCTACTATATGCCAAGCCTTGCACTAAGCACTTTACAAATATCTCATTTAATCCTTACCCACTTGGGAGATAGATGCTATTATCATCCTCATTTTACAGTTAAGGAAACTGAGACAGGAGTATTAAGTGATTTTCCTAAGGTCACACAGCTAGTAAGTTTCTAAGGCCAGATTTGATCCAGTCTTCCTAATTCAAGGCCCAGCCCTTTATCCACTGTGCTACCTCTAGAAAAGGTCCATAGAATAGCAGAATCTCATTTGGATAAGACCTCAGAAGTGATCTAATTTAACCTATATCTGAATGGGAATCCTCTCTACAATAGCCCTGACAAGTAGGTAATCTTGACTCCACTGGAAGATTTCCAGAGATGGGGAACCCACTACGTCCCATTCCACTTCTATACAGCTTTCATTTTAAATATTTCTTTATATTAATCAAAGATCTGCCTTTCTGAAACTTCTACTGATTGTTCCTTTTTCTGCCTTTTGGAGCCTATTAGAACAATTTTGTTCCTTTTTCCACGTGATTACAATTCAGATACTTTAAGATAACTATCATGACTCCCCAAAGTCTTCTGTTATTTGATTTAAACACTTTTTATTCATCAGCTGTTGCTCATGTAAGATGGTGGTTCCTTTGGAAATAGGGCATGCCCCTATTGTTCATATCAGGTTAGCCTCTGGTAGATGTAGGGAGTAGCCAAATTTCTTCCTGCTGTTCATTCTTTGAATCAAAAGTGTTTTCTCCTCATCAGAGGATACAGTGTCATCAAGATATCTCTAAAAGTTCAAAATTTTGGAGGCAGAACAGTTGGAAATAAAAGTGAGGTCTAGATCTTGAGACCATGGTGGGTGACTGAATAGAGTAGAGGAAGAAGTCCTGGAAATTAAGTTTAAAAAAAAATGTTATTTGTGGTGGGGAAGTAAGGTGTTAGAAGACTTATCAATTTGAACATTGAAGCCTCAGGAAGACATTGGCAAGGGAAGGGGTAGAGAGGAGAAATGTAATTTCTGCATGCATTTATTAAGTGCAAGGTAAAGGGGATTTAAAGATTAAATAATAATAATAACAATGTTGATGATGATGATAACAGCCTCTGCTCTCGAAAAGCTTTCATTCTTTTATGGAAACTATGACTTATACACAAATAATTATAATACCAGGTAGGATGTAATCTAAACTTTGAGACAAGAAAGGATACCTGAAGTGGGAGTATCAGGAAGATTGTAACCCAGGACAGGGACCAGTAAAAGGCTTGCTCTGGCAAAAAAAAAAAAAAAAAAAAAAAAAAAAAAAAAAGGAAGAAAGAAAGACAGGATACTTGCATCTGGGAGGATTAGGAAAGGTTTCATGGGTGGAACAGGGGTAGAGTATATTACTAGAAAACCTCTGTGAATTGAGGCAGAACAAAGTGAGTAGAACTAGAACAGCTTCAATGCATCCTGATCTTAAACTTATTAATTTGGAATTCTTGTTTCATTTTGAATAAGCATAAGACGAAGCTGAATACTGATGATTTAAAGCAGGGTTTCTCAATTTTTTTTTGTTTTTGTTATTGTTTCGTGGACACTGCTCTGGCAATACAAAGACTATGGACCTCTTCTCAGAATTTTTAAGTGATTAAAATAAAATACATAGTATTATAAAGGAAAACAATTATATTATAATACAGGCATCAAAATATTTTTAAGAAAGTTCACAAACCCCAGTAAAGAACCCCTGGTTTACCCTTATTAACCTCTGAAAGCCCAGAAAATATCACCCCAGGAAAAACCCTGGAACAACTGAACCAGAAGAAGGGTGGGGTGCAGCAGTCCAGTAGCCCAGGTAGTTTGAGGGATTAACGGGAAAGGCCCCTCTTGCCCTGGGACAAAGGGAGCAGTACTGACCGGGAGAAGTCTCAGCAAGCTAGCCGAAAACCCCACTTTAGCATACCAGGAGGAGATCCTGAAACACAGGTGGTTGAGCCGGCAAACACTAACACCTGGACCCCCGAGTGCCTCAGTGAGGGCAGGGAACCAGTGGAAACCAGCTTGGAAAACCATCAGGTGCCTCGGCATTCTACAGCGACTGGGTCTCCCAGTGCCTCAGCAAAACTAAGGGAAGCAGCGCTCCAAGGGGCCCCAGATGGATAAACATCCTGCAATATCCATTTGCAAAGAGTTAAAGAAAGGGAAGGGAAGCAAAGGAAAGGCCCAGGTGAGCAAGAAATCTCCAGGAGCCACACTACCCAATCCTACCCCTAGAGTTCCAGTGTTGCTGATTCCAGCGCAACATCAGGTAAGTAGTCAGAACCCTACAGCCTCCAACTGCCAGCACACAAAGCAAGTGACCAGGCCCTAGGCTCCCAACACAAGAAACTTGGGTCAGTGCCCTCTGCCCCCCAGCAGGAGAGCTCAATTTCTTTTAAGACCAGGAAATAAGTAAACACCATGAGCAAAAAGAAATGTATGACATATTCTTATTATGGGAAGAGTGAAGATCAGGGCAGAATTTCCGAAGAGGACAACATTGTCAACAAACCCACATCTGGAACCTCAAAAGAGAATATGAACTGGTCTGAAGCCCAAAAAGCCTTCTTAGAAGAGCTCAGGAAGGATTTTAAAAGTCAAATGAGAGAGGTAGAAGAAAAAATGGGAAAAGAAATAAGAGATATGCAAGAGAGAGTCAATAGCTTGGAAAAGGAAGGACAAAATTAACTGTAGAAAACAAGTCCTTAAAAAATACAATTGGCCAAATGGAAAAAAAGTACACTGAAGAAAACAAGTCCCTAAAAAATACAATTGGCCAAATGGAGAAGGAGGTACAAAATCTAATAGAAGAAAGCAATTTGTTAAAAATTAGAATTGGGCAAATGGAAGCTAATGACTCCATGAGAGAGCAAGAATCAGTCAAACAAAAACCAAAGAATGAAAAAATAGATGAAAATGTAAAATACCTCATTGGCAAAACAAACTGACCTGGAAAATCGATCCAGAAGAGACAATTTAAAAATTATTGGTCTACCTGAAAATCACGATGAAAAAAAGATCCTGGACAGTATCTTTCAGGAAATCATAAAGGAAAACTGCCCTGAGGTCCTAGAACCAGAAGGTAAAATAGCCATAGAAAGAATCCACCTATCACCTCCTGAAAGAGATCCCAAATTGAAAATGCCAAGGAATATAGTAACCAAATTCCAAAATTACCAGGTCAAAGAGAAAATACTGCATGTAGCCAGAAAGAAACAATTTAAAGGAACCACAGTCAGGATTACATAGGATCTTGTAGCTTCTATCATATTCTACCGTAGGATGTAGAATATGATATTCCATAAGGCAAAGGAACTTGGATTACAACCAAGGATCAACTACCCAGTGAAAATGAGCATGATCTTTCAGGGGAGGAGATGGATATTCAACAAAATAGGGGACTTCCATACCTTCCTGATAAAAAGACCAGAGCTCAACAGAAAATTTGATCTTCAAATATAAGACTCAAGGGAGACATAAAAAGGTAAACGGGTCAGAAAGAAACAACATGTTATTAATAAGGGCGAACTGTTTACATCCCTACAAGAGAAGATGACACATGTAACTCTTGAGAATTGTATTGTTATTACACCATGTTAAAGGGGTATACATAAAGGGAGTAGATATAAGTTGACTTTGATGTAATGATAAAAAAAACTAATCAAGTAGATTAAATGGATCCAAGTAAGTGGATTAATCTGATCTAACTAAGAAAATGTACTGAGAGAAAAGGTAAGGAGGAGGCAGACAAGTAAATTACAGTACAGGAACAGACACAAAAACTTATTATAGCAGAGGGAAAGAAGGGAGGGAGATGAGCATTGTTTCAACCTTACTCTCATTAGATTTGGCTCAAGAAATGAATAACATGATCAGTTAGGTACTAATATTGATAAACTTAACCCTTCTCAGCAATACAAGGATCTAAGACATCTCCAAAGGCCTCATGATGGGAAGTGCTATCCACATCCAAAGAAAGAACCATGGAATTGGAATGCAGATTGAAGCACACTATTTGCTATTTTTTTTTCTTGTGTTGTGTTTTGTTTCCTCTTTCTGGTGGTTCCTCCTATTGGTTCTAATTCTTACTTGCGACATCACTAATGTGAAAATATGTTTAATAGAAATGTATATGTATAGCCCATATTAGATAGAGGTAGGTGGGGAGGGAGGGGGAAAAAATTTAAAACTCAAAAACTTTTGGAAGTGATTGTTGATAAATCAAAATAAATTAATTAAAAAAAAGGACAAAGTATGGAATAAAATTTTAAAAAAAGTAAAAAAAAAGAACCCCTGGTTTAAAGGTTAGACTATTTAAAAAAAGCATTAAGAATTTTGGAGACCAACTTCTCTCTACCTTTTTGACTACCATATTAACCTGAAAATCCCACAAAGACAGGCATTCTAGGGTGATTGCTGGAATAGTAGCTATAGGCCAGAAGGATCCCCAAACATGCCTTTCTTATGACAGTCAATTTCCAAGCCAGCCCTTGAAATTACAAAACACATATTCAGGCACATCCAAATATGGTTTGTATTTGATACTTTAACTGGGTAAAAGTTCTTAGGTGATGTTTTTTCTCTTAAACTTTAATCCTCAGTAATTATTCCCCATGAGCTCAGGTTAGCTGAAATCATTCTTGTTTCCAAATGTTTTAAGTTTCTGGAAAATTCATAAAGTGAAATGTATACCCGTTTGGATTATTTCATGATTGCCACTTTGTGTCTATATTCAAATAGCATGTGCTATTTTGACATTGGGATAGTACTAAATCTTTTAATTAATGTGTCTAATCTTCATTTTACTGAGCTCTTTTCTTTCTTTACTCATCCTCAGGCCCAGTTTGAACTGAGGGTCTTCCACATTAGGGGAGAACACGCTGTAATAACGGCAAGACTAGAAGAAACCATTGAGAATCTCAAGTGTGAGTTAGAACACCGGTTGAGCGGAGGATGTGAAAAGACAAGAGATGCTTGCATCTCTACAGAAGATGATTATCCACCAAAGACCTTCCGAAATGTCTACATACAAACTGACAGAGAGACGTTTTTAAAACCCAGTGAAGATGAAAGCAAAACCATTAAAAGTAACCAAATAGTACCCAAAAAACTGAATATTTCCTCTCTAAACCACATATCTCCCCCAAATGATATCAAAGATATCTCTTCAACCCTCCAATCTTTAGAAAGTTGCTCATCTGGTCAACAAAAGTCGTCTCCCCCTCCTGCTCCTCCACTGCCAATAGCAATCCCTCCACCTCCTCCCCTTCCACTAGTACTTGATCCTCCACTGTTATCGTCACAATCGAGTGCTGGGCCACCACCACCGCCTCCTCCTCCACCACCTCCTCCTCCACCACCTCCTCCTCCCTTACCTCCAAGCTCTGGGAGTCCCCTTCCCCCTCCCCCACCACCCCTTCCTGTCCCACCACCTCTCCCCAGCACTGGGCTACCACCTCCACCTCCTCCAGCTCCTCCAGGAATTGGACCACCACCTCCTCCTCCTCCCTTCTTTGGAGGCAACACATCCTTTAGCCAGATTCCTCGAAAGCCTGCCATTGAACCCAGCTGCCCCATGAAGCCTCTGTACTGGACAAGGATTCAAATAAGTGGTGGAAGGTAAGGAAATCCCTACCATGACACCTAAAACTTAGCTTCTGCTAAGTTCTATGTGTGGGTATCTTGGTGATGATGGGATACTTTTGGAAGGAGTGTCAGTTGAATTTGGCAGCTATGTGGCAGACCTTGACTGGTCTTTTCTTTTCTAAATCTTTGGTGATGGTATGCCAAGCAATGATCTTTGAGCAGGCACACCCCTTCCTGCCAGCTAATAGATCATTTTTAGAGACTGGACCTGGGTGTGTCACTGTGGGCTATGAGAGAGAGAGAGAGAGAGAGAGTAAGAAGTCCAGTTCTGCAGTAGATAATATGGATTTTAATGATATATTTTGAAAAAGATTTTGAAAAGCAGAGATTCTTCAGGTAGAGGGTGCCTTTGTGCTGGAAAAATTAATAAATATATGTACTATTCAGCTAGAAGCAACTAGGTGGTAGAGTGGAGAGGTCATTGGACCTTGAGTTAGGATGACATAAATTCAAATTCGTCTGACAGTTACTAGCTGTGTGACACTGGACAAGTCACATTAACCTCTATCTACCTCAGTTTCCTCAATTGTAAAATGAACACCTACCTCCCAGGATCAGATAAGTTAGCATTTATAAAGTGCTTAGCATAGAGCCTGGCACACAGTAGGTCCCTAATAAATGCTTCTTGCCTCCCTCCATCACTCCCTTCCCTTCCCTCCCCTCCCCTTACTTCTTTTCCACTTACAAACAGATGCAAATAAATTTAAATTTAGGGGCCAAAAGGGATATGAGAGGATCCCGGATGAGTGAAGAAAGACCAGATGATTTTAAAAATTAGTTGATTGCAAAATTATCTTAAAACTATATCTACTGTACCCTCTAGGAAAAGCAGAATGATGTAGTGGAAAAATCACTGGTCTGGGAGTCAAAAGCAAGACTTTTATTCAAATCCCACTTATGTTTCTTATTAGTTGTGTTACTGCATGCAATTCATTTAGCCTTTCTTTGGTTCTCAGGTCCCTCATCTATACATTTTGAGATGCTTGTACCTTTCTCATAGTATTGTTATGAAGACCAAATGAGATCATATATATAAAGCGCTTCGCAAGTCTTTTTAGCTGTTTTTTTATTACCATTATTTTCCCAAAGAAGCACCACTTTGTGGATCTAGACAAACACTTTTTTTGTGTTATGTAGACAGTTATGAATAGTAGTTATTTAGTTAATAATAATAATTGCTATTATTTATATAGCACTTTGAGGTTTGCAAAGTTTTACAAATATCTTATCTTATCCACATAACAACCTTAGGAGGTACTTCTGCTATTATCCCAAATTTACAGATAAGGAAACTAAGGCAGACAGGTTAAGTGTCTTGCCTAGAGTCACACAGATAGTAAGTATTTGAGGAAGTATTTGAATTCAGCTTATCCTGACTCCAGGGCCAGTACTCTATCTATTGTGCTATACAGCTACCTTAGGTTATTTGAATATTTCAATTCAAACCAATTTTTGTATAGATTTTTAAAGTTTACTTCTTTGCTGCCAATGACGTTGATGAATGAAGTACAACCTAGTTTTGTCTCTCCATAGCTTCTACCTTCCAGTATTTGCCAGTTCTCCTTGACCACCATCTGTTCTCTATCTTCATTTGTTAACAGAGCTTGAGCCTGATTATAGGAGATGGACCTAATGTCAGGGTTGAAGGGGTCACTGTATTTCATCATATAATTGCCACATTTGTGAGGTGATACTTCTCATGGTCTTCCTCCTCCATAGATGTTTTGCAAATTAAACCAGTGCTACCCTCTGCTACCATGAGAATTTATGGTAAAGATTGAATAAGAATTATACAGGATGGGAAGGCAAGGAAAGGTCGTAATTTGTGCTGGTGGAAGAAGTAGCCACACTAATCAAAATCCCAGATCCACCAAAGTACCCACTCCCACACTGTCTTGCCCCTATTTTGAAGCTAAAACTAATAGGAATTGAATAATAGCCAGATCCAGGTAAAGACGTCATTGAATGAAAATCAGTATTCACAATATATTGTTTTTGTTCATACCATGGTATAGGTTCATATAGGTTCAAACCATATGATGATGCCTGACACAATCAATGGGACTTCTAGGTTATAGCGGTAGGAAAACATTATAAAAGAACTGGGATGGGAAATGTTTTAAATATAACTAAACTGGTATATAGCCTGGTCTTAGCATATCCCAAGTAGCGATTTGGAGCCTTCCTTAAGCCCACCATCAATAAAGAATAGAAACCAGAGCTTATACTGGGCAGCTGCTTTTTAACCTTGCAATTAAATGTTAAAGCAAACATGCCTATGATCTGAAATAGCCCCACCCAAAACTCAAGCGCTCCTGGCAGTCCCACCTAAAGTCAAAGTGAGGGCTCCTAGGAAAGAACTTTCCAGCACATTTATTGTGAGTGATTTTCATTTATTTGGCATTCTCAAATCCAAGCGGAGAAGCACTCAAGGCTAATAGATTTCATCTTGCAGCCACATAATGCAGTTCTCCGATCACACTTGTTTCCGTTCCCGTGTGTTTCTAACTAGTCTTTTTCCACATTCTGTCCCCACCTGCTTTCATTATCAGTGGGTAATATTAGAGCCTTGTAACAACACCACTGGGAGAGACAGACTCTGCTTCTGCTACTCAATCTGGGTTAAATACAGGCCAGAGATGATTGTTGTCTGCATTTTTTCCTCCTTATGTATTGTACCGTTTTGAAAAGGGAAACAATTTAATATTAAAACTCTCATTAGCTTCAAAAGAAGTCTAGTGCTTCAGTTTTGAGAGAAACGAAAAGCATATGAATGTATTTACAAGTCCCAACCAGAGGCATCAGGAGAGGCTGACTCAGTAACAGTTTCAGGCACTGAGCCACGATGTATGAGGTCTGGGGCTGGGGTAGGGGGATATTTCTCTCTTAATAAACTGTAAAGTCTATTGAACATGGTCATTTTCTCCCTTTATTGGGTGTTTTATGATTTAATATGATCCCACTAGACTATTATCTTCCTCCTAGCACCCCCCATTTAAACCAAAATACACTGTGATTTTATGTCATTCATGTTCTGTCTTAGATGGGCTCTTTGAAGGGGTGAAATGTTTAATAATTAGTAGGCAACCACATTGTACTAAAAACCAAGTATGGATCTGTTGCCTGATAACTGACACCCTAGATAGCAGGATGTACATAATTATACATAGCTACATTCACATTTTTGTGTCTATATGTGTGTATTACTATTTTTCTTATTTCCGGAGAGATAGCATCAGACTCTGAAAGCACTGTTGTTCTAGGAGTCCTGGGTTTGAATCTTGGCTCTGTTTCTTAGTTCTTTGGTAACCCTAGGCAAGTCATTTAATCTCTCTACTCCATGGTTCCCTCATTTGTAAAATAAGAAAGTTGAACTAAAAAAAGACACTCATATCCCCTTTAATTCTAAATCTGTGATCCGAAATGATGCCCGTTTTTGAGCAGTAGAGGAATCCTCTCCTAACCTACCTATTTTGCTTTCTAAGTATTGAGATTCCACAAAATAAACTTTAAAAAAAAAATGGTTGCTTTCAGTAGCATTGGTAATAATGTATGATTTATCCCATTTTCTTATTAATAACAGTGCTAATGACAGTAGTAGCTCATATTTATATACTACATTAAGGATTACAAAGCTCTTCATGTGCATCATCTTGTTGCAGCCTCACAAAGAACTCTGAGGAGTACTATTATTATCCTCAATTTATAGAGCAGGAAACTGAGGTTCAGAAAGGTTAAGCGACCTATCCCAGGATCACATAGCTGGTACATATACAATATACAATAGGTACATATACATATACAAAGGTAGATAGCCTTTAACCAAATCTTCCCTGAATCCAAATATACCCAGCACTATGTTCTTATTCTCAATTTTGATGAGTTCAGACAGCCTTCTGGTAGATATTTGATGGAGTCATCAAAAACCTAGCATAAGAGGACAGCTAGGTGGCTCAGTGGATAGAGCACCCACCCTGGAGTCAGGTGGACCTGAGTTCAAATCTGGCCTCAGACACATAACACTCACTAGCTGTGTGACCTTGGGCAAGTCACTTAATCCCAATTGCCTAGCCAAAAAAAAAAAAAAACAAAACCAAAAAACAAAACCTAGCCTAAGTCCCACCAAATGAGACAATCCTCAACTGACAAGTTTTATTATAAAAGTCCATTTATGATAAGTCAATTTTTGTAACTCTGAATCCATTTTCCATAGATATAATAGCATCCTATTTTCTGAGTATAATGAAGAATCTTAGCATTAGAAAAGAACATAGAATTCCTCTAGTCTAGTTCACAACTGAGTAGGAAACACCTCCTCAGAGACCCTTATAAGTGAAATCTAACTTCTGTTTGATGACCTCCAGGGATACTTCTCCACGCAGCCTATTCCACTTTTGGACAGCTCTAAGTTAGGATGTTTTTCCCTTCTATTGAGCTGTTATTGTTCAGTCGTTTTAGTTGTGTCCAACTCTTCTTGACCCCATTTGGGGTTTTTCTTGGCAAAGATACTGAAGTGGCTTGCCATTTCCCTCTCCAGCTCATTTTACAGATGAGGCAAATGGGGTTAAGTGACTTGCCCAGAGTCACTCAGCTATTAAGTGTCTGAAGCCAGATTTGAACAATTCATCTTCCTGACTTCAGGCCTGGTACTCTATCCACTGTGCCATCTAGCCGCCCTCTGTTGAGCTAATAGTGAGCAATTAGGTGGCATAGTAGATAGAGTGCTAGACGTGGAATCAGAAAGACCTAAGTTCATACTAGCTGTGTAGCCTGGGCAAGTCATTTAATTTTTCTTAGCCTTAATTTTCTTTTCTGTAAAATGGGAATAATAACACCTACCTCTCGTTGTTATGAAGAGCTAATTAATTAAGAAATGTAAAATGCTTTGTAAACATTGCAAGTGCTATATAAATCCTAGCTATCATCATCATCATCATCATCACCATCAATAAAACCTTGATCATTCCTTCTACCCATTTGTTCCTACTTCTTCCTACTGGGAATGGGCATTGTTATTGTTGTTCAGTCATGTCAGACTATGGCCCCATTTTGGGGTTTTCTTAGCAAAGATACTGGAGTGGTTTGCCATTTCCTTCTCCAGTTGATTTTACAGGTGAGGAAACTGAGACAAATGGAGTTAAGTGACTTGCCAATGGTCACACGGCTAGTAAGTGTTTGAGGCCAGATTTGAACTCAATAAGATGAGTTTTTATTCACTATACCACCTAGATGTCCCTAGTATAAGCATAGTGTCAGTCTAATACTTTTGTAAGACAGCCCTTCATATACTTGATGATGTCTATCGTCTCACTACTGCTGCAGTTCTCTTCAGATTAAAATCCTTAGTTGCTTCCATCAGTCCTGATCAGTGACAGAGTTCTGAGTCCCTTTAGCATCTCAGTTTCCATCCTCTGGGATGTTCTTCAGAACATAATACAAAACTCCAGATGTGGTCAGACCAAAGCAAAGTACATTGATACTTTAATCCCCCTCATTCTGTATACTGGGCTTCTATTAGTATAGCCTAAGATTGAATTAGCTTTTTTGACTGCTATGTTATACCACTGACTCATTAAGCACCAAACTAAAACCCTGAAATCCTCACATGTTTTTCACATGAACTATCGTCTAGCTGTGTCAACTTATCCTACCCTCTTAGGTTCCTAAACCAACTGGCCGCAAAAGATTATTTTAACTTATTATATGATATTAATAATATTAGTTAAGGGAAGAAAAAAAGCAGAAAATTTCTTTCTGACATTCCTGTGCACAGGGCCAGTCCTAAGCAACTTTTTGAAATAGATGGCTTACCTCAGATATCCCTCCCAACACCATTTCAGATTCCTCTCATTTCCTAATGCCCTGCTTTCTAGGATCCCAGGCATCCTTTTACTGATGAATTCTTAAAGTGCTGTACACCCCTAGACCCTAAAACCAATAAGCACTTATTATGTGCTTACTGTGTGCCAGGCACTTTGCTAAATGCTAGGTATACAAATATGAGTAAAAGTATGACTGTCCCTACCCTCAGAAAGCATACATTCTAATGGGGGAAGACAACATATGAAAGGGAACTGGTGGGTGGAAAGGGGGGAATGGTGGTGAAGTCAGAAGCAGAGCCCTGAGAAGAATGAAGGGAACGACCCTGAAAGTACTTGATGCTCCAAAACTGCCTCCCCCTAATGGAAACTCCCACTGTACAGATGATTTCAGCTGAGTGTTAGAAAGAAGTAATCTGATTAAACTACTTTATTTAAGTTCGTGAAGTAATAGCTGTTGAATGCTCCTGACTGGTATTTGAAGCTTCAATTGGCAACCAGGAGGCAGCAATGGCTACTGAAAAAGCACTGGACCTGGAGTCAGGAAGACCCTGGGCAAATCACTGACAGTGACTGACTGCCTCAGTTTTCCTCATCTATAAAATCAGAATAATAATAGCTTCTACCTCACAAGGTTGTGAGGAAAGATAAGATAGTGTTTGTAAAGTATTTTCTAAACCTTAAAACATTATACAAATACTAGTTGTTGTTGTTATTATATCAAATCCAAATGAATTTCTAATTAAAGGACTTAATAAGCTGTAGTAAAGCAGTAGCAACAAACATTAGGATGCTGGAGGAAGATAGTTTGAGACAAAGGGCACTACTATCCTGAGTCAGGCCAGGCATTTCTAGGAATCTGTCCCTACAATCAGCTACTCTAAATGGTTTTTGCTTATCTAAGTTTCTCTTTATTTTTTCCCCCTTTGAATCCATAGGTCCCCTAAAAGTTACTTTTCTTTTTCTCTTCCATGACTGCAATGGCAGGAATAACAAGGGTTCTGATAGTAGGAGAAAGAGTTGGTAGAGAAAAAGGAAGAGGCAAATGCACCAGGGACTTGGGGTGGGTATTGCCCAGTCTGAAATAAGGATCATTCGTCAAATGGTGTTCTAGAGTAGTTCAGTTTTACCTTAGGTGAGTATAAGCATCTCCAGCTACACATGTGGAGGCTGGAAACTGCCTGTATCTGTCTCAAATAAAACTGAGCCATTATTAAAAGCCAATTTTGATATCAGAGTAAGAAGAATCTACTGGGGGCAAATTTTTAATTAGAGACTGTATCCTGACTATACCTTTGATTTTCTAAGAGTATACTTGGCAAACTTTTTGTCTTATTTATTTATTTTTCTTAAATTTTGTAATGGCAGGTTGCAAGCCATCATAGAAATGAAGGATAGGCATTCCCTAATTGATAAATGGTCAAAGGATATGAACAGACAGTTCTCAGATAAAGAAATTAAAGCCATCTATAGTCATATGAAAAAATGCTCTAAATCACTATTGATTAGAGAAATTCAAATCAAAACAACTCTGAGGTACCACATCACACCTATCAGATTGGCCAACATGACAAAACAGGAAAATGATAAATGTTGGAGAAGATGTGGGAAAATTGGAACACTAATGCATTGTTGGTGGAGTTGTGAAATGATCCAACCATTTTGGAGAGCAATTTGGAACTATGCCTAAAGGGCTATAAAAATGTGCATACCCTTTGACCTAGCAATAGCACTTCTAGGGCTATATCCCAAAGAGATCATACAAATGGGAAAAGGACCCACATGTACAAAAATATTCATAGCAGCTCTTGTTGTGGTGGCAAAGAACTGGAAATTGAGAGGATGTCCATCAGTTGGGGAATGGCTGAGCAAGTTGTGGCATATGAATGTGATAGAATACTATTGTGTTATAAGAAATGATGAACAGGCTGACGTCAGAAAAACTTGGAAAGACTTGTGTGTTCTGATGCTGAGTGAAGTGAACAGAACCAAGAGAAAGTTGTACACAATAACAGCCACGTTGTGTGATGACTAATGTTGATAAACTTGACCCTTCCCAGTAATACAAGGATCTAAGACATCTCCAGAGGCCTTGTAATGGAAAATGCGATCCACACCCAAAGAAAGAACTATGGTTGAATTGCTATTTTTTTTCTCTTCTGTTGAGTTTAGTTTCCTCTTTCTGATGATTCCTCCTATTGGTTTTAATTTTTACTTACAACATCACTAATGTGAAAATATGTTTAATATGAATGCAAATGTATAGCCGATATCAGATTGTGCGCCATCTTGGGGAGGGTGGTGGGGAGGAAGGGGGAGAAAAATTTTAAACTCAAAAGCATATAGAAGTGATTATTGATAAATCAAAATAAATTCATAAAAATTTTTAAAAAAAGAAATGAAGGGCAGGAAGTGTGGAGGCTTGTTTATTTGACCTCACCAAACTGATGTCTGAATCCTCAGTTATCTTTTTTATTGGACTTTGCCAAATCCATCATTTTGGCTGCTTTCAAAAAACATCCAACTTTTAGAATGTATATTTGCTTTAATATCTACCTAATATTCTGTTATACCTTTTGACCTTCCCCTAAACCAATCTATTAGAATGTGAAAAACAACATATTCCCAAACTCTTGCAAGGGTTATTTGTTTAAAAAAAAATTAGAAAAAAATCTCATTGTTTCACAGTCTCATTGATTTCAATTCACTATTTCACTTACTCTTTTTTCTTTTTAAGCCAAAGTACTACACCAACCCTATGGGATTCCTTAGAAGAACCTGATATTCAAGACCCAAGTGAATTTGAGTATTTATTCTCCAAAGACACCATTCAACAAAAGAAAAAGCCTTTGTCAGAATCCTATGAGAAGAAAACCAAGGTCAAAAAGGTACTGAATAGTTATAGTAACAGTCATTGTATTCCTCCTCAAATATGAGAATTCACTATATGCTGATATGCTTACCTAACTTTTCCAGTAGTATAAGAGAAATTTGTAAGTCATAGAAGGAAAGAAGACAGTCTTAAAATTAAAGTAACGAGAGTGAAAACTTGATTCCTGAGATTGTATTCAGAGGGTCTATGAACTTTGGTGCAGTTTTACAGAGTATTTTACCTGAGTTTATAATCTAGGTCTACTAGTTTTGCATCAGCATACATGATTTCTTTATTTCTTCAAAAATGCATTTACATTTAATAAAAGAACAAACCCTTCCCTTTTCCTCCTTTCCCTTTCCCCTTTCCTGAGCAGTATTACATTTTCTATTAAGCAACAAAAAGATTGAAGATTTTGATAGCTTTGTTGTTTAAGAAATTTGATAAAAGCCTAAGTGATATGGATAGAAGAAGCACAGGACTAAGAGTCAATGGATATGGATTCAATTTCTCATTTTCCTATGTGATTTTGTTTCAACAAATTACTTTTACTATCTAGACCTCAGTTTCTTCATCTGTAATAATAATAATAATAATAATAATAGTAATAATAATAATAATACCTGGCTTTTCTATCTCAGAGAACTTCAGAAATGGAAGGGACCTTAACAGTCACCTATTCTAACCTATACCAGAGAGGAATTCTATAATTCTTTATCATTCAACCTTTAAGGAGAAGGAGCCCACCACCTCTCCCTCCTGCATGACTTTGGGATAGTTCAAGTTGTTAGGAATTTTTTCTGAACTAAAGTCTCAGCTTGCCTTTTCTGAAGCTTGCCCCTGTTGCTCCTGGTTGGTTCTGCCTCCAGCACCAAACATAGCAGGTTTAATCGCTTTTTCGAAGGACAGTCATTCAAATGTTTGAAGACAGCTGAATTTGTTATGCTAAGTTTTTCCACCACCACTCTCCCCCTCCAACACACACACACACACACACACACACACACCAACTTTCTTCTGACAATTTGATGTGTGCCATCTAGACCTTTATCCAGGTTTTAGATAAAAATTGTTAAACAACCAAGCTGGGTCAAGTACAGAGCCCAGGAGACTCACAAAAGACCTCTTACCAACTTGATAGAGAACCATTAAGGACAACTCTTTGAGTCTAGCCATTCAACCAGTTCCAAAACTATCTTAATTATATTATCATCTTGTCCCTTTCTTGCCAACCTTTCCACAGGATTAATATGGGATACTTTATCAATGTTCTGCTAAAATCTTGGTAAACTGTATCTCAACATTTACCTGATCTAACTGTCCAAAAAAAGGAAATTTAATTTGGCATCATCACCTGTGCTTCACGGAGCTGTACTGGCTCTTTATAAACACCACTTTCTTCATTATCTTTCATAATATTCATTAACCATCCCAGAATTTTCCTAGGAATCAAAGTGAGACTAACTGAACTGCAGTTGGAAGATTCTGCTGTCATCCATTTCTTCTCTTGCTTTCCGTAATCTCAATGACTTTTCTTGATTTTGAACTTGAAAAAATACAATTAACAAAGTAAAGCAGATAATGAGAATTTTACATGAAACCATGAATATCTGTTATACCCAGATTGCTTTTTCTTCTAATTATAAAATAACTTCAACATGCTACTTTCAAAGATGTCCTGCTTATCTGTTTCCTTCACTTCTATGCATTAGAAATATATAATATATATTTTGGTTATATGTGTGTGTGTGTATACGTGTGTGTGTGTGTGTGTGTGTGTGTGTGTGTGTGTGTGTGTGTGTG